GAAATGGATACTGGATGATACTCCAAGAAGACCGATCAACAGGCAGCCTATGTATGATATCAACCGAAAAGTCTCCTCGCTTATTGATGAACAAGGAAAATGGTGTGTAGAGGTTCTTCATGAACTTTTCCCTGCCAATGATGTAAAGCGTATTGAACAAATGGTCATTGGTGGAGCTGCAGATAGAGAAATTTGGGCATATACGAAGAATGGTGCATACACAGTAAAGAGTGGTTATGAGCTAGCAGCAACACTGGCTGTGCAACATCTTCGGGAGACTTCCTTGCAGGAGGAGGCAATACTAGTTCTGAAACAAAGGATTTGGAAGGTACCAACTCTTCCTAAGATACGTATGTTTCTTTGGCGGGCACTGTCAGGAGCTTTAGCGGTTGCGGAACGTTTAAACTCAAGAGGGATAGCTACGGAAGTAATATGTCAGCTCTGCAACCAGGATACTGAATCTATTGCTCACGTTCTCTTTCACTGCAATAGAGCAAGGGAATTTTGGCGAATTGCAGGATTCCAAACTGATACTCATGGCCCGGTCTCCACTCTCACAGAGGAAATTCGGTCAAAGTTACATGATATGGTGGATACATCAATTTCTGAAGATAGGCGACGGGTTGTTCCATGGATTTTATGGGCAATATGGAAAAACAGGAACGCTATTCTATATGCAAATCGGCAAGACTCGGTGGCTGAACAAGTCCAGAAAGCTTATGAAGAGGCGACATTGTGGTCTGAACTTAATAAAGGGCTGAACAAAGAAATTCGGCTGCCGACTGAGATTGGTAACAACAAGGTTTGGGCCCCTCCGATGGTTGGCCAGGTCAAATGTAACATCCATGCAAATTGGAGAAATTCGGTATTGCTGAGTGGAGGTGCTTGGATTGTTAGGGATCATGAAGGGTGGGTTAAACATCATGCTAGAGATGCCCTATTAAGGTCTCCGGACAGACTTTCAGCTGAAATGAAATGTTTGATTTGGGTGCTTTGCAGCTTGAGGGATCTTCATTACCAGGAAATAGTCATAGGATCTGATTCCCAGGAACTGATAGAGGCGATACAGAACCCATCTAACTGGCCTAGATACCGTGGTTTACTCCGTCAAATTGCTATGCTTTGTGTTGAGTTTCCCACAGTGTTGTTTGAGGTGGAGGTTGCAGGCTCTAACCAAATTGCAAGGGATATCGCTAAGAGTGTGCTTAGGAACGGTTTCTTCCAGTCGTACCTTGCTCTCGGTGGTCCCTCTTGGCTCCACGATCGTATTCGGAAGGAGGCGTCACTCATTTACTCTTAAGCCTTTCTGTTAAGGTTGAGTTTTTGTAGGCATTTCCTTTATGTTGGTTTCTTGTTGCCTTTATGGCTTGTAGTAACCTTATCTCAATCCTTTGATTGATTTCAGACGTTAAAAAAAAAAAANAATCCCTAAAGACTCTACTATATAATTTGCAGAATCTAAGATATGCCTAAACAAGTCTCCTCTCCTTCTCGTCTCGTTCATAGTAGATTTTGCAATTTTCATTGTCTAAAGGTAAGGTTATCTAACATAAGTTCTTCTCCGATTAAAAAATAAAAAAGATGCTAACAGTTTTTAGTTATAAGGTTTTAGATTTTAAGATTTGAGTTGGATGATTTTTGGAATGCGTACAGGTCTTCTTTACGTTGATTTGATTATGAAAAGTCTATTTATTCTTTTGCTATAATATATTTCTTCCTTTGACTTAGTTAAGATTTTTTCATGTAGTTTTAAAATTTGATTATCGAAAGTCAGCTATTGCGTTATTATTTATAGACTTTTGCACGTCCTTTGGGTCGAATGGGGTCAAGCTCAGAAGTAGTATCTGAAATTGTAAAGAAGTGGAGAGAGCATCCACCTTCTTCGTATTCCCTCAAGGTTGGCAGCTTCAAACAACTTGAGAAGTCGACAACTAACTCTGATGATAATTACCAATCTCGTGTTTTCTCCTCTTGTGGATATAACTGGTACGAATCAGTTGCTACTCTAGCGTTGAGACTAACAGGACATTGCTTGCAATTATTTACCTATTTTTAGGCATTAATAAGTTGTCTATAAAAAAACAGGAAGCTGATCGTATACCCAAAAGGAAATAAAAAGGACAATGGGAAAGGATTCATTTCGATGTATGTGGAAATAGACAGCAAAAGTTTGATATCAGCACCAAACTGTGAGGTGTTTGCGGAACTTATTTTCTTTGTCTACAACAAGAAAAAAAATAAGTACTCTACTATTCAAGGTACATAAGATACTTAGCATGCTATTTTTCTCTATTTATATGTTTATTCACTTATACTTTAGTTATCAATATATTTTATGTATTCAGATGTAGAAGTAAAGAGGTTCAATGCACTTAAAACGTGTGGGGGTTGCAGCAAGTTCTTCCATATGATTCATTCAACAACCCTGAAAACGGTTATGTTTTTGAAGGAGATCAATGTGAGTTTGGTGTTGATGTTATTGTTCCTTCACCCCTTACCAATTGGGAAATTCTCTCTTTTAATGGGAAACTCCAGAACCCCAAGTTCTCTTGGAGACTTAAGAATTATTCTCAGCTGAAAGAGTATAAATACACATCGAACACTTTCTCAATAGGAGCAAGGAAATGGTGAGCATGTTTAGTTTTGGTGGCAAAAAAATATGTCTTTATTCACATGCATACGGGTTTGTGTCTGTACAAATGGTAAACAAGTTTATAATAATTATACTTTTTTTGTAGGACTCTTAAGCTGTATCCGAAGGGTACCTGTAGAACAGATGGCAAATGGCTATCCCTTTTTCTGCAATTAGCTGATTGTGATAAACCAAAAGCAGATGAGAAGATTTTGACGCAAGCAAATTTGCGAGTTCTAGACCCACTTGGATCCAATCACATTCAAGTCGAACGTATATTCTAAAGCACAATCACGTTAATTATGTCTTTCTGTTTGCTGACTGAACCACAGGTTATACAGTCTATCTAAGAATTTTTATTTTACTTGCCCTAGCAGTGAACTGTTGGCACAAGGAAGAAAACTTGGGTTGGGGTTGGGATAAGTTTCTGTCGTTAGATGAACTTCGGAAGTCTTACTTGGACAAGGAAGACGCGTTGAACGTTGAGATCGAAGTTGAAGTTGTTTCTGCCACCAAATATTCTCCCATTATCTAACTACTACTATATTGCTACAATGTCTTTGACTTCTTTTCTGTATTTTCCACAAATTTGGTCCTATTAAAGAAAACTTTCCTTTGCAGCTTTAATTATTTAGGAACACTTCAGTATAATCTCCCAAAACTTATCTCCGCAACTCTTAACTACTTGCTACGACAATTACCACTTTCCATTAACTTGATATTGATCTGTGTCAGAGTGTCTTGGGGTCGTTTCTGCTCTCGGAGAGTTTAGGGATAGTAAAGAGTTCGAAATAAACTTTGTAGAATCACATTTTTCCAATAGGTATATATATAATTTTCACTTGCTCGGTTTTCTTATCAGAAAAACGATTCACAATAGGTATATATATATTTTCACTTGCTCTATCTTTCAGTCTTAGCTATTTCATAGTTTGTGATTGAGCTTCTTTCAGAACCATGTTGCACTTACACAGGAAAAAAGTCGTGGTTGAAAGTCAGTGGCTGGTCTATGACTCTATGCTGCTTCTCCAGGATTCAGTACGGATCTATTAATTGAGCATGCTGATAGAATCAAGCTGCTTCCAATCAGATTCAACCGGTGAACAATCATGGACAGTTTTTTTAGTAGAAAATGTAAACATTTTAGGCACAGCAAACTCTTAGCTAATTGCTTTCCATTAACTTGTCAGTTTTTTTAAGCTTTATGAGAGTTTAGAAGATACTTAGGAGTTAGAATTAATAGAACCACAGTGTCCAATTTAAAGCAGCTTAGATTACATGAAGTTCATGCAGTTTGGTCCTACTATATATTGTTTTCTCCAAAACGTTTTATGTATCTTTTATAGCTGCTACTATCTTGTGTTCTTGTGAATAAGATGAGCTGGAGATAAAAAGAAGAATCGTTAAACATGAAGATGAGATTGTCTTCACTCCAGTTTTGTTAATGTGGACACTAATCTTCTACAGTTCACCTTTCAAATTTTCACTTCAGACATGAATAGTATTTAGAAATAAATGACGCATGATTAGTAACTAAACGCTAGTACGTAGTATCAATGCTTGGGTTCATGACCAGAGGTGGGCAAAGAAAAACGAACCAATCTGAACCTTACCAATCGAAGTTAAACCGACCAAACCAAACCTTGTTCTATACATAACTCAATTGGTTGATGTTTTACTCAACCGAACCAATAAACCAATATATTTTTTATTTATAATAAATAATAGTGATAAATATGTATATTAATCTGTTGTTATCTTCTAGTTAAAGTTATCGTTTCTTTTTTTTTTTCAATTTTCATATTCTTTTAACTCCCAATATGATACAGATAATACTGTTATATATATTCTCTAATTCTAATCCTTATCCTAATCCCTAAAGATTCTACTATATAAATTGCAGAATATAAGACGAATAATACCTAAGCAATCTCGTCTCCGTAGTTTCATTCATAGTAGATTCTGCAATTTTTCATTGTATAAAGGTAAGGTTAACATATAAGTTCTTTTAGGATCAATAGATACAAAAGGTAGATGCTAATAATCTTTTAGTTAAAGATTTTGGATTTTGAGATTTGAGTTGGATGCTTTTGGAATGCTTTACAGGTCTTAGTTACGTTTATTTGAACTATCAAAAGTCTGCTCTTTTGCTATTATGTATTTCTCCCTTTGACTTGGTTAAGATTTTTCATGTAGCTTTAAATTTGATTAACAAAAGTCATTATGAGACAGCTACGCCTTCTCTCCAATGTTAACTGTTTCCAACAAACGTATTTGCTTTAAAAACATCTTTCCACTTGTCAGTATATATGAACATTGAACATTCTGACCTTTGTTATTTTATGGACTTGCACGCCGTGTGAGTAGAATGACTACAGGCTCAGAAGTAGTCTCTACAATTGTGAAGAAGTGGAGAGAGCATCCACCTTCTTCTTATTGCCTCAAGGTTGACAACTTCAAACAACTTGAGAAGTTCACAACATCCTCTGATGATAAATACGAGTCTCGCCTTTTCTCCTCTGGTGGATATAACTGGTATGTATCATCTATTCAACTAGGGTTGATACTAATGGTTTATTTGAAACGTCATATGTGTGTACCAAGGCAATAATTCGTATTCTTTGAAAACAGGAAACTGATCGTATACCCAAAAGGGAACAAAAAGGACAATGGGAAAGGATTCATTTCAATGTATGTGGAAATAGACAGCAAAAGCTTTATATCAGAACCACAATGTGAGGTGTTTGCCGAACTCATTTTCTTTGTCTACAACAAGAAAGAAAACAAATACTTTACTATTCAAGGTAAGCTACTTGTAATCTATATATGTTTTATTCACATATATTTCAGTCATCACTCATCAGTATATTTTATGTATTCAGATGTAGAAGTAAAGAGGTTCAATGCACTTAAGACAGTGTGGGGGTTACGGCAAGTTCTTCCATTTGATTCATTCAACAATCCTGAAAACGGTTATGTCTTTGAGGAAGATCAATGTGAGTTTGGTGTTGATGTCGTTGTTCCATCACCCCTTACCAGCTGGGAGATTCTCTCTTTTAATAAGAAACTCCAAAAGCCCAAGTTCCATTGGACTGTTAAGAAGTTTTCTCAGTTGAAAGAGCATGAATACACGTCAAACAAATTCTCTGTGGGAGAAAGAAACTGGTGAGTATGTACATACATTTTAATGGTTTTAATGGTGAATATGTATATTGTATGAATTATAGTCAAGTTCATAATCATTTAATGTTCTGTAGGGTTCTAAAGCTGTACCCAAAGGGATACTCTAAAGAAGAAGACAAATGGTTATCATTTTTCCTGCATTTAGCTGATAGTGATGCACCAAAAGCAGATGAGAAGATTTTCGTGCAAGCAAAGTTACGAGTTCTAGACCCACATGGTTCCAATCACATGGCATACCAAAGTATTTTTTTTTTCTTTTCCTTTTTTTTGTACTAACTAAACAAACAGTCGATACAGTCTTCTAGGTAGATATATTACTGATAATGTTATTACATGCAGTGAACACCTGGCAGATTGGAAAAAACTTGGGTTGGGGTTGGGAAGAGTTTTTGTCTTTAGATGAACTTCGGAAGGCTTACTTGGACAAAGAAGACGCTTTGAACGTTGAGGCTGAATTTGAAGTTGTTTCTGCGACCAAATATCCCACTGTCTAAGCACTGTTATTACGCAGCTACTAGACAATGGATATGTCTTCTACTCTCTTCGCTTTTGTTATATGTGAAGTTTTAGGGCTTTTGTTTTGTGTCAAATTAATTGACGTTTGAGACTTTTATGCAGAATATAGTGACTTTTGACTTTATTTACTCTTTGCATTAATGGTTATGATCCTGTTTAGCTTGCACATTTAAACAATGATAAATAAGGATAGAATAGACAATAGATTCCTTAATTTATGTGCAAATCCTCTATAAAACTCAACTAAATAAAAACAGAGGGATTACTTTTACAAAAAAAATCACTTGAATTCTGTAGTTTCAACAAATTTGTTTTTGTTAAAGAAAAATTCCTTTGTCGTTTGCAATATTGAGATATATTAATATTATACAATAGTTAAGGATTAAGATTGTAAATATTCATTTACAGATCTTTTATGATATTAGAACAAGTTTAGAAATTAATTACTATACATTGTGATTACTGTTCATTGGGATATGAAAGAGAAAGAATCGTCTGACGTGATTATGTTGTTAACACAATATCTCCTATATCTTTAAATACTGTGAATTCAGATGAAAGTTCAGAATATAGAATTGAGACATTTGTGAGTTGTGATAGATTTTCTGATTTATAAAGAGAAATTCTAGCTAGTGTAATTGTAGGGGTGGTGCCAAAGACATTTGCTGAAGCAATGAAATGTCTAAGATGGCGAGAAATAATGAGAGTGAAGATTGAGGCTCAATAGAAGAATAAAACATGGTAAATTGGATTATTTCCTCATGGAAAGTAGATGATTAAATGCAAGTGGATATTCACAATAAACTATAATGCAGATGGATCGATTGAAAGGTATAAAGTTTTTGTCGCATGTGGTAATCGACAAGAAGACAAAGTTGATTATAAAGAGACGTTTGCTCATGTGGTAAAAATGAGTACAATTAGATTGGTTCTTTGTATTTCTGCATGGAAAGACTGGGAACTTCAACAGATGGATGTACACAATGCGTTTCTCATGGTGACTTAAAGGAGTAAGTGTATATAAGGCTACCTCAGGGTTTTAATGCTTCTACCAAGATTATAGTGTGTAGGTTGCACAAATCTTTATATGGGTTGAAACAAGTTCCAATGTATTGGTTTGCCAAATTTACAGAAGCATTTTTGAAGTTTGGTTTTAAACAAAATAAATCAGATTACTCACTTTTTTCATTGGTGAATGCTAAAGTGCAGTTGCATGTTCTGGTATATATTGATGATATGGTGATAACAAGAAACTCACGAGGAACTATTCAGAAGTTTAAGGGATATTTGAGCGTTTGTTTTCATACAAAAGATTTAGAGAAACTTAATTATTTTATGGGAATAAAAATTGCACGCAGCAAAAAAAATATATCTATTTATTTCAAAAAAGTATGTATTGGATATTATTTATGATGTTGGGTTGCTTGGTGGTAGACCAGTGAAGTTCCCTATAGAACCGAATCATCAGTTAGAGATAGTTAAGAGTTCGAATAAACGTAATTTGTACAATCACTTTTTTTTTTCAACTTAACCAGCTTATTGCTAGTCCTTTTGTTTCTTACCACGTTTATTATTTGGAAAGAAACGATCGAACGCACGAGTAGAAAATGAGTAGATAGCGTGTGATTATTAAAACCTGTTTATGAAGTGAAGCACATAATATCTGCACCAAGAATTTTCTTACAGAAATCTTATAGTAATACCTTTTTTTCCTCTTTCCTTTCTTCTTAATTAATACTAGAGTTTGACCCGCACATCCGTGCAGGTATTTTTATTTTATAAATATATAACTAAATTTTTTAAATATATGATTTATATTTTATTTTTAATTAAACAAATTTATATTTAATAACGAAATAAAGAAATACTTATTTTATATAAAAATATTTAAAACTTTTGTTAAGATATTGTTAGATTTTTTCAACAGATTTTGTTATATTTAAATTGATTTATAATTAATATTTTTATTAATTATTAAGATATTTTGAAAATAATATATATTTGATTGGTTAAGTAACAATCAAATATGCTATATTAAAAACTAATGGTATAGTCCAATATGACTTTTAAATAGTAGATAAATTTGGTACTTCTCTTTTAATAGAGAAGATACATCGAGATAAATTAGAGATAATTCCAATCGTTGAACAAAAAAAAGAAGAAGATAATTCCAATCAATGTTAGGATATATATGAAGAAATAAAGAAAATATCAATCCAAGGTGAAATATAATTGTTTGTGCTGTATATAACTCTGTCTTTGACGTTGAATAACAAATTAAAATATGGTTTTCCAACGATTGTTTCAATCGTCTACAATGGCACCGAAGTCATCTGCTGGTTCTACAGTCGTGAAGAAGTGGAGAGAGCATCCCCCTTCTTCGTATTCTCTCAAGATTCACAGCTTTTCCCAACTTGAGAAGTCTATTGCCTTCTCTGATCAAAAATACCAATCTCGTTTTTTCTCTTCCGGTGGATATAACTGGTATGGATTGTTTATTCACTTAGAATCAGAATTGTCCATATATGTCGGTTGTTTTTTTGTAACTTAGAATAAGAAGTATCAATATATTGGTACTAGTTATAATACTTTATTTTTAATTATGGAGCTATTTTATCTCCTCTTGAGTATTACGTTGTTAATAAAAAAAACAGGAGATTGATTGTATACCCAAAAGGAAACGAAAAGGACAATGGGAGTGGATTTATTTCCATGTACGTGGAAATAGACAGCAATAACTTGAATGAGGTTTTTGCCGAACTCCGTTTCTATATCTACAACAAAAAAGAAAACAAATACTTTACTACTATTCAAGGTACGTACTCATGCTCTTTCTCTCTCGCTTACATACACTTTTTTTTTGGTAAAAAACCATACATATATACACTTATTTCAATCAGCAATATACATACATATATGACAGATTCAGATGTAGGAGTAAATAGGTTCAATGCACTTAAAACGGTGTGGGGGTTGCAGCAAGTTCTTCCATATGGTACATTCAATAACCCTAGAAATGGTTACATCTTCGAGGGAGATCAATGTGAGTTCGGTGTTGATGTCATTGTTGTTCCACCACTTACCAATTGGGAAATCCTCTCTTTTAATGAGAAACTCCACACGCCCAAGTTCTCTTGGACTGTTGAGAACTTTTCTCAGTTGACAGAGAATACATACACATCAAACAGTTTCTTAATGGGAGAAAAGGAATGGTAAGTAGATAAATAATAGTATACGTTTTATTGGACAGTCAAGTATGTCTATCTTATTTACACATGTGGGTTTGTGTCTACGAACGTTAATTAAACAAGTTCATTATAATTACTGTTATGTAGGGTCCTGAGTCTGTATCCAAAGGGTAACTCTAGAACAGGTGGCAAATGGTTATCCCTTTATCTGCAATTAGCTGATAGTGATACACTAAAAGCAGATGAGAAGATTTTCACGCAAGCAAATCTGCGAGTTCTAGACCCACTTGGATCTAATCACATTGAACGCAAATGTATCTTCTAAAACCACAATTACGTTAATTATGTTATTATATATGTTTGCTGACTTAACCACAGTTTGATACAGTTTAGCTAAGAATTTTATTTTACTTGCTCTTGCAGTGAACCATTGGCACAAGGAAGAAAACTTGGGTTGGGGTTGGTATAGGTTTTTGTCTTTAGATGAACTTCGGAAGTCTTACTTGGACAAGGAAGACGCGTTGAATGTTGAGATTCAATTTGAAGTTGTTTCTGCTACCATTTATTCTCCCATTATATAAGCACCACTGTTATACTGCTATCAGACAATGCTATTAATTATCATTCGCATTTTCTATGTATTATCATTTGAAGTTGTCTTCGACTTTATATTAATTATCATTCGCCTTCTCTATATATTATTATACATATTTGGTTTTACGAGAGAAGTTCCCTTTGTAGTTTGTAATATTCAAGAACACCACAGATATAATCTCTCAAAACTATTCTCCGCAGCTCTTAACTACTTGAAATGCACCCTGTACCATTAACTTGGTACAGCTTTCGGACAGTTTTATGAGGTGTTAGAGTTTATCTTGGTACATTCACAGCTCTTTGTATTAAAAACAGCTTATTAATGAAATTTGTTATATTTGTTTCTTGTTGGTTAAAAGAAAAGATGGCATATATAGTTTCTCTTCTAATTGCTCCGGCCAATAACCACAACATTTTTATCTTCCATGGGTTATCATCTTATGCGTTCTTGTAAATCGTGATGACTAGTGGAGATGGAAAAGAAGAATCTAACGAATTTCTAAACGTAAAGAATGAGATTGTCTGGTATTCAGGACCGGTTCAAAGATTTATGAGATTTGAAACAATTAATAAATAATTACTATATTTTGAAATAAAAAAATTGGGAGTTACATGATCCATGCAAACAATTTTATCTCATTATGTCCATGACTGCATATATTTTACATAAGTCAGAAGATCATGACAACAAGTTTCAAAATTTTATTTATCCTGAAGAAATGAATCTTCAACATTCTTCATTCAAATTTACAAAAATCATGAAGTGCTAGCTAGTCTTCCGCTGCTCTTTGTATTGGGATGCACTATTTATAATGTTTGGGTTATTTGTAAAAAAGTAAAACCGACTTCTTTTATCAAAAACTAAATTTACAAAAACCAACTTCACCAATACGGCGTAGTTTAGCGGACGACATAGCAGCAAACCAATACGCTGTCCAACGAGATATTTGTTACCTAATCCAACGGTACAAAAGCCCCATACTAGTTTCCATCGCTCCAGATTCCGCCACGTAAGCAAACTCTAAGTAAGATATTTTCTTTTTTAATGAATAGCGTTCCGCCACGTCTCTCCTCGACAAAACACGAGTTGTTGTTTTTGTTTTTGTTTTGTCTCTCCCCGTTGATTCGTCAACTCAAAACACAAACCCTAATTAAAATCATTCATTGTTTTTTTTTTTTCATTTTCCCTTTCAAAAAAGAAAAAAATCAATTCTGAAGGAAAAATCAAACCTTTACAAATCTTCTTCTCCTCCTCCTTTCACTCGGTTGATGAAAGATATCTGAAGCCGCCGAGATAAAAACGCAATCAGCGATGATGGGTTTCTTCTCTGTTTCCGACGAATTGCTTGGCACGGTTGCTCCGATTGTTGTTTACTGGGTTTACTCTGGGATCTACGTGGCGCTGTCGTCTCTGGAGAGGTACAGATTGCATTCAAAGGCGGAGGAGGAAGAGAAGAATCTCGTCTCGAAATCAGCGGTCGTGAGAGGTGTTCTTCTTCAACAGGTTGTTCAAGCTGCTGTCGCTATCCTCTTGTTCACGGTAAAAGTTTCGAACTTTTGATTTGGGAATCCACTTTTTTGGGTGCTTTTGGATATCTGATGCTGACGTGTGTTTATGTGAAAAAGGTTGAGTCTTTTTGTGTGTTGATGTTGCTTTCACCTAAAAAGAGAAGTCTGTATTTAATGAGTTTTATTGTTGGATGCAATGTTTGTTAAAGTTGTAGTTTTGTTTGAAGAAGTTAGGTTTTTGGAGGTTTGGTATGAATCTAAAGCTGAGAAGGTAGAAGAAAGGGTTTTTTTCATCTGAAAGCTAGATTATAAAGTGGCTATTTATTTCTGTGTTGGAAAGATAGTTAAAGCTTTTAGAGGTAAGTATGAGAGATTTTAGTGTTTAGAAATTGCATTAGGGGCCTTAAGAGAGATATTTGGTAAAGAAAAGATAAGCATTATACCAATGAATTAGGTAACTAAGATTAAGTTAAATTTGACTTGCACAATTTATTTAGGATGATCTAGAGTTGAATCTAAAGCTAAGAAGTAAGAAGCTTGAAAGATGGGCTTTTTCATCAGAAAGATATATCATAGATTAGCTGTTTAGTTCCTTTTCTCCTCCTAGTAGTTGAGTAACTCTTAACCTTTCATGACCTGTTAATCAGATTGGTCATTTCAGAACCAGTGATAGTTAAAGCTTTAGAGAAAAGCAAGAGTAGAGACAGGGGTTGACGGAGAGCCTTGAGTGATTGGCAGTTGATTTGAGGTCTTTGGAGAGTTTAAGATGCCCTAGTATCGATCCTTGGATCCTATTAGTTATTAGGTTTGTCTTAAGCTCTTTAAATGTTATTCTGATATAGAGAAGAGCAAAGGAAGATCTCGGTTTCGGCTCTTATCAGCTTATCTTATGAGAAGATATACTTAAATAACAAACGAAATATTATGGTGATTAGAGATTCCAAATGAGTTACTATGTGGTGATATTATGAATTTATGACTGATGTTATAATCTTTGAAGCAGCTTCATGGATTCTTGGTTTGCTTTTGTCTTATCAAGAGTGCTTGTAATGTCGTGTACTGTGTTATTTGCTAGACATGTCTTTGATCAGTATATTTTTATTACTACGCATGCCTCTGATAGATTGGTTGGGTATCTTATATTATGTTTGTGTACACAGGTCACAGGAAGTGATGCCGAAGGAGACAAACCTCAACAATTCTCTCTTTTAGTCCTAACCAGACAGTTTGTCATCGCCATGATAATCCTCGACACATGGCAATACTTCATGCACCGTTACATGCACCACAACAAGTTCTTATACAAACACATCCACTCTCAACACCACCGTCTCATCGTCCCTTACGCCTACGGAGCTTTATACAACCACCCAGTAGAAGGTCTTCTACTGGACACAGTAGGAGGCGCCTTGTCTTTCTTAGTCTCCGGTATGTCACCAAGAACTTCAATCTTCTTCTTCTCCTTTGCCACGATCAAGACCGTGGACGACCATTGTGGTCTCTGTCTTCCTGGAAACCTGTTCCACATGGTGTTCAAGAACAACTCGGCTTACCATGATGTGCATCATCAGCTTTATGGGACCAAGTATAATTTCTCTCAGCCTTTCTTTTCCGTGTGGGATCGGATTCTTGGGACTTATATGCCTTACTCTCTTGAGAAGAGGGAAGGTGGTGGGTTTGAAGCACGTCCCACTAAAGAGTTCAAAGATGATTGAGTAATGTTTTTGGATAATGGATGGATACTTTGTGTTGTGGAGATGTAGTTTAAAAAAATCAGAATTGAGTTGCATTTTGCCTTATTTTCTGACGATGGGGTTGGGATTTGTATATATACGTTATTGATTTGTTGTTTTACTCTGTTTTGTTTTGGATGAATCACTTATTTATCTACTAGATATGTTTTAAAGCCTGGTGGCTCGTCTTCTACTTCAACTATTGTTAGAGATCAACATCAAAAGTAGAAGCATCACATGTTGATGGTTAGCTACTCTTTTCTACTATTAGTTCGATGATCCAAGGAATTGTTTGGTAAAGAACTATTACTTTCTTCAGGTCTTAATAGCATTATTTGGTAAAGAAAAGAGCGGCATTATAACAGTTTAGGTAACGAAGAATAAGCTACTTTGACTTTCACAATTTATTATCCGAGTAATGTAAAAACACATTGTAAGCACCAAAGAAGTAGAGTAAAAACGTGAACTGTTAAAGCAGCATTGGAAACGAGATACCATAACAAAACATTTGGGAAATGTCGACAAAGTCAAGCAAACGAATACAAAAAGTTGTAGAATTTGGCTGAGAAGAGACAATGTTTTAGAAAAACGCTAACAAGGATCTAGTTCTTGGGAGCAACCTTTTCCTTGGCCTTTTGAAGCTTCAACACTTTCTTCACTATCTTTTGCTCCTCAACAAGGAAAGCACGAACAATTCTGCCACCACAACACATAAAAGAGCCAAGAAAAACACGTTAGATTTGTTATTTGTATCATATACATAAATGAGCTAAAGAACAAACCTTTCTCTAACGGCAAGAGCGGACAAAACACCACCATAAGCACGGTTCACGGTCCTCCTGTTCCTTGACAATCGAGACCTCTTGTACTCAGCAGGCCTCAAGTGAGGAATCTAAACAAACAAAGAAACATAGGTTTACATTAAACCAACAAAAACCACAAAAGAGAAATAGGTAAGTTTACGAATCTTGCTAAACTAAGTAGATAAGTAAATCAAACGAACTTGCTTTTACTTAGTGTTCGTAGTTCAGACAATCTAAGACACGTAACAATATTGAACAAGATTTAAGATATCTGCCGCCAAGTAAAACAGTACTATCCTTACAAAAAAGGACAAGACTTTTAAAAAAGACAAAGGCGGCACTAAATGTAGCTTATGATAAAGTTATGTCCTGATGTAAGATTTTTCTAACCAGCACAAGACCGTCAATAAGCACGACCAAAACACAAACCTAGACAACTAATTCACTCGCATTGATTTATACAATCCAACTATAATTATCTAAAAACCAAACACAGCAAAGTAAATATAAGAATCATTACAAAACCAAATGATAGAAGACTTACACCCTGAATACGCTTGCCGGTAACGGGGCATTTTGGTCCACTTGCACGCTTCTTAGTGGTCTGAAAAGTCAATTTACCACCTGCAAACAATATCAATAATATGTCAATACATTTTTAGATCAAGATTTCGATTTTGAAGTGGAAGCAGAGAGGGAGAGAGAAGGAACAGACCAGGGGTTTTGAGGATTCTGTGCTGGTTAGATTTGGTGGCGTAGCTGTGACGGGAACGGTATACAAGACGCTGCACCATTTTTACTCCGCTTTGCTCTCTCTCTCTCTCACACTCTCTCCTCTTTTTAGGGTTTTTTGGCTTTTGACGGAGCGAGAAGTGTGCTTTATATGCTGTACTCTCTATTTAAAGCTCTTCCTACTTCTAACACTCTCTAATGCCCTAGATTGGACGGTTAGGATTATCTAGAAGTTTTATAAATCAACGGACGAGATTTGTTATCTTTTTGGGCTTAATAGTCCAACTCCTCTTAGTTATTTAAGGTCACATACGATTCGGGCTTAATTTCTCGGGAAGCCCATTTATTTTTCTTCCCTTTGTGAATGGTTGGACTAGAGGGTAGAGCTGGGTTTATTTGGTTTTGAGAAAATGCCACTGGTATATTTCGGTTTGGTTTGGGACTCCAGGTTATTAAGTTCAGTTTTGGGTAATGTTATGTATTCTGAATTAAACCGAAGTTTTTAATCCGGTGTAAATCCATATTATGTTGATAAATTATGTGTAGTTATGTTAATTTCAATTCAGTCTTTTGTTTTTTTAGTTAATGATTGTCGAACCAATCAGTTTTGCTTGTCGGACCAATCGGTTTTGCTAGCCAAACCGGGAACAGAGTAAGTTTTTTTCAAAACTCAGTTCTTAGCTAAACCAGAAGTAAAATTGCAAACCAACAATTTTTTTCAAAACTCAGTTCTTTTTGCGGAAAATATATAATACCCAATGAATTTTTATTTTATACATATAAACATGAAAAAATAATAGACAAGGACTTGAACTACCAACACAAGTAGAGCTACTACTGTTCTCAACTAAAAGAAGGTGGGATCATGTAACAACATTGTTACAACAATATAAGATAACCATTATCTTGTGATGTTCTCTTTCAAAATTAATTCTCTTGTAACAGTAATACACTAGAGAAACAAAACTAAAGATAACACCACAGAACATTCAGTATCTCTAACATTCTTTCTCAGGAACAAAGACAATAAAAAGATCATCTTCCTGGATCTCATCTAAATATCTAGGCATTGGCGGCTCTAACAAGGTAACAAGGAAAAAGAAGGTTCCATGTGAATCTTCCGACCAATGAAACTTATCCTGTTGAGTTTCTCCTGACACCAAACCAACTTCTCTGTCGTGAGCTTTGACATGGTCATTACTCTTGAAACCACTCTAAGTTCAGTTTGAGCTATCAGTAACTCATCCTTCACTCTTACACTACTTTTTGTCTCATTCTTCTTTAACTTCTTCACTATGCAGCATTGGCTTCTCAGTATCTCCTTTAGCTTCTTCTCCTTCTACATAAGAGAGACCAAGAACATGGTCTTGAGTAAAAATAACATTGATGTGATGTTACAAAATAAAAGAAGAGTTAAATAAAAACCTTTTGGTGATGGGTTCTTATCTCTGTCAAGAGCTCAAGATCTAAAGGATCTTGTGGAGAGACTTGTGTTTGGTGGGTAACTTTCATTACAGAACTAAACTCATCTTTGTCTGCACAAAGAAACTCCCAGAACACACGCATTGATTCTAGGATAATCTCTCTTAACGTCTCAATCTTTACCGCAAACTCTCCTTCGTTTCTACATTTCTTATTACTCTTTGAAGAACGATCATCTGATAAACACTCAAAACTATTAGGCCTTGTTCAAAAAATATTAACTATATATGTATCTATAGTTAAAAGTAAACAGCTCCATCTTTAAATTAATTTATAAAAATTAATTTAAAAGACGGCCTTGCTATTAGCAAAAGCTCATAATAATTTCAAGAATGATGAAAACATGTTTTGTTACCTCTAACAAGTGGAATCTGAAGGAAATTATGGAAATGGCGACGGTTCTTCAAGTAAGTCTCAACTCTAGATGAGTTTTGAAACGGTTCATTCTCCACAAACCGTTGAACCAGAACTTGGAATAGTTGAAACTCTCCAGCTACTAAGTTGTACTGATAAGTAGTAGTAGCAGCGTGAGAATCAAACTCCAAGAGTTTTGTGTATTGCCAATGAAGCATCTCCCACGAGATACAAAGTTGGCTCACGTAGACAGTCTCAAAATCTCTGCTTGCTTCTTTCACAAGTCTCTCAATAGGGTCACATTCAAGCTTATGTTTCTTGAATGGCCATAGAGGCAACTTAGGCGGTTTAACGATGTTACTGCTTGGTTTAGATGAATCTTTTAGCTTTATCAAACCTGTCAAAATCAAAAAAAAAAAAATATTGTAGAGTGAGTAGGTGAGACAATATTTAAGAAGGACAGAGACATTTTTCAACCATATTATGACCTCACCAATCAAAGCATAAGCTAGAAGCAGACAAAAAAAATATATTAAAGATTCTGAAGAGTATCATTTCTAATATATGTAACGGTCTGCTTATATTGTCTTCACATTGATTATAAAATTAGTAACAATGTGTTGTGAGAAAGAGATGTTGACTTACTGATGGAATGCATTGTTTGTGAATCAATGACGTCTAGCTTTCTCATTTTAACAGCATAGTTCTTGTAAACCTTGTGAATCTCACCGATCATGTCTTTGAACCGGTCTTGTTTTGGTTCGATCTTGAGTGGTTTCGGTTCTTCTAATGGAGTCTCTGATTCCTCAAGAATGGTGCATAACCCTCCTGTTCTCGCTGTCCTTATCTCTGTTTTCAGTTTCTCAATCACATCACTATGCTCATACTCATCATCATCTGAATCATATACTTCTTCTTCTTCATCAAAACCCATCTTGAACTCTTCTTCTTGATAAGCAATATTAGATATCTGGAAACTTGGGTTGAGTTCTATAAACTCCTCCTCCTCCTCCTCATCAAACAAGTTATCTTCAACACCAACAAAACTCTCGTGAGCTAATAGTCCTTTTAAGACACCACAACTCATGAACTCATAAACCAACATCTCTTCCTTCACGTGTTGCGTTACAAAACAGCCCTCAGATAATGACGTCACCAACTTGTTGTCGTCAACTACAAACGGTGACTCATTAGAGAAACTCACCATCTTCATCTCCTCCTTAACAGCAGATGAGTAACAATCACGAAACACAAAACACACAGCTTTAGGTTCTTCTACATAACAAGTGATGCTCTTGTCGGATAAATAATCACATCTCTTGCTGATCGAAACCGGCTCGTTTGTGTTGTTATTATTTTGAGTCTTAACCACGACCAAGCTTGTCTCCTTGTCTGAATGAACTCTAATAAAACAAAACCCATTAATCAAAAAAAAAAAAAAACAGAGGAAGGCACAAGAAGCAAGAAGAAGAAACGTATAAACAGTACCTGAAGATGGAGGAGAGAAGGAGGAAGAAGAGATTACAAAGAGAAGACCAGAAAGCATCGAGAGACGTGAAAGTGTTTCCGTACATAAACTGCTTGAAACAACTACAAGAACTATTATAAGTCTTCGTTGTAAGTAGAACTCCGTTGAAACCCATCTTCGATAGTTTCAAGTTTCAACGTGTTATGTGGTTTACAACGTAAACGACAACGTTTTTTGTTTTCTCCTTCTTCAACAGAGTACTAAACATTTTTTCTTCAATCAGCTGCGAGATTTGTGGTTAGGAAATGATTTCACCATTACACGGCAACGATCCTTTCACTGACTCTTCTTTATATATGAATGAATAATTTTTTGTTTTTTTCTCTGTTAGGAATAATTTAAAAGAAAATAAATAGAAATTGTTCTATTTTTTTCAGTTTGAGAATTTTGCCTATGCTTAAGATGTCCGAAAGGCAGAATAAATTTCTTTTTGGGTTCTCGGTCAATACGTTACTACTTTCTAATTTATTATTCGAATAACTCTAATTTAAGTTTGTTATTTTTTTTTTTTTTAATTTTTAAATTTTTGTCTTGGAGAACGGACACTGTTCAATATTGAAAAACTCAAGAGTCAATATATTGCATTGCTTTTCGGGTTCTCTTCCATTTGTCACTTTGCTTTCAACACATTCATTGGCTCACATGCTCCTTTTCTTTCTTGGAGTTTCAACTATTCATTTCACTAAACTCATCTTTTAATAGTTAAAACCATATGCAAAAAAGGTAAACAATCATTTTATCTCAATTTCGTTGGTAAATTTGGGGCAAATAATAGCAAATTATATGTTACTATGTTATGTGTAGCTTTCTGGTAGACACTTGTAGGTGAACAAATGGGTCGAGTATGATGACATAATTGCGTGCGAGCTTTGGCCTTTCAACCGTCCAAACATTGCATGACTCATGCAGTAATGAGCATGTCACGGTCCAAAATGTAATTAGTTGACAGTTAATGTATTTGGCAGATGTACATTTTATGTTTCTTTCAAGATTCCGTTTTTATTTCGATGTGACTCGTATCGTGTATTGGTCCTTCTTCTTATGGTGTGCAGCAATTCAATTGTCACTTTGGGGTTCTCTTCATTTTTAACGTGCGAGGGAGATGCAGATCTACACGTGTCTGAGTAGGTCTGGCTCGGACCAGTGATGCTGACATGTTATTCCCTTCTTTTATGTATGGGCCTAACGTTCACTTTTTATCTCATGTTAGACATCTATTTCCTTAGATAAAAATACATATACATTGGGCTTTTATAATGAATAAACACAAATATGAATTGGGCCAGTAGAGTTTGCTTAGTCATTAGGTTTTACATTTATATGATTTTATGGCTTGTTACCATTGTAAAACTATGGTACAACTTACAAGTACCTACAAATTAGAATTGCTTTTTTTGTATTGATATATAGAAAGAAAATCATATAGTTCAACTATTTCAAAAATATGTGACCTCCAATCTAGAATTTGAGAATTATTTTATATTAAAACGGTTAATGTCATATATCCAAGTACTAATCATGTGTTTTACTTTTATGTAAACATACAGTTCACTTAATTATCACTTACTTCGTGATCAGTTTTAAACCGATCAGGTTCAAGTTTCTCACAGTAGCTCAGCTGACCATTTTGTACGGCCATGAGATTGGTTCTAAGATATCTTTGTCAAGATTAGTCTACATTGCATTCGTCATCTTATGATAATAATCCATACATATTAAATTATAAAATGTTTACTTGTATAGATTTAGTAGTGGTTCTTCTAAAATATTAGCTAAAGTTGTTGTATCATCAAAAGTTTTGAAACCTTTAACATTTCATTGTGTAAACTTTGATTTCTGAAAGATCTAAATTCAAATATTTATAAATAATCTTTTCGTTTAGCTATTTGTTTCAAAATTTGTTCACTAAAGTAATAACTTTATTCTACATCCATGCTATAAAATAACGCAATTGTCTACTAATTTTGTGTGTATAATGCTTAATTTAACATTTTAGTTTGATGTTACTTGGTTTCACATGAGTAATCATAGTGGTTAAGATGTTTGTCGCATGCTAGTTTTGCAATGGCAATGAACAGATTTACCAAATATCTACCTTTACAATTGATTTTTAGTATTTCAGTGTGTAAACTTTGATCTTTTGGAAAACCTAAATTCAAGTTTTTGTTATAAATAGTTTCTTTGTTTCAAAATTTGTTCACTAAAATAAGAAGTTCATTCTACGTCTTTATATTTTCTACTAGTACTGTGTTTAATGCTTGATTTAACATTTCATTTTGTTGTTACTTTGTTTTATATTAGTAAGCATAGTGTTCAAGCTGTTTGTCACATGTTAGTATTGCACTTGCAAATGAACAAACTGACCAAGTATTTATCTTTAAAACTGTTTATTTAGTATTTTAGAGTGCAGACTTTGCAATATAGTTAGTTTGTCAAATTGATGTGTGTTTAATTAATTTCTATGGAATTGAAATATTTTTTCTTATATTTTCTTTTAAAATTTGATTTTGATTTTGGTATATCTGAACGCAAAGTGTTATTATTCGAATCCGATTCCTACTTATAAAAATATTTGAATGGACCAACAAAATGAATCCAAAATCTATGGTGGATGTATTCAATATGAAATTTCAAGTGATTTGATTTTTAAAATTACAAAATTTTAAGTGAATTTGAAAATTAAATGTGATTTTTATTAAACAATTCTAGAATATTATCTAAAACCATAAGATTTTTATTTTTATAATTAAGAAACTCTTGAACACTCTATAAATATTTAAAGCATTCTACAATTTTGTTCAATAACAACAGATTTCAAAGTAATTTATGGAAGAACAAGTTAGTAATACTAGATTGCTAACTTGTTCATTGACATCCTACCCGTCTCTGATGAAAATCTAGTATTACTAACTTGTTCTTCCAAAAATGACAAGGCCTAAAGACATGAATTCATAGTTTTCAAAACAAAAACCAAAAACCCTAGCCGCTCTCCCTGACGCTATTATCGAGACACCAGATCTGAGTTCGTTTTCCGGCGCCAGTGGAGCAGGGGCTCGCCGGCGTCGCCTCCTCTTCTCTATGCTTTTGCTTTTCCTAAGTCTCTGTTTTCTGTTTGTTGTCTTCTCTCCTCTGTTTCAATCTGGTTCACCCTTGTCAAAGGTTCAATTGTCTCAGCAAACACGTTTGTGTTGGAAGCCAACTGAACTCTTCATACCCTCTCTTCCGGTGTTGATATCGTCGGTTGCTAAGAAAGCCTTTGTGGCCTTAGCTGTCCAATCTGAGTATTTCGGATCTGAAATTGTTATTGTCTTCTCCATCGTTATTGTGTATCGTTGTTGTCTCTACTCTGGTGCTACTCCTTCGCCGAGATCTACAAGTCTTGATGGCTCTAAACAGTGTGTCTCAATCTCCTCAGCGAAGAAGCTTACATTATACGGCTCTGTGTGTTCCACACAAACCTTCATGACGAGTTCACCACAGTTTGAAGACCCTCAGGTCCATTCGCTTTCAATGCCACTACTGTGCGGACCTGCAATTTCCGGCTACTGCTCTTCACTTCTCAGCTGGACAGATGCAGTTGACCAGTGGCTTATCAGTGGCTTCAGCAAAAATCTTTGGCTCCGATGCGGTAACATTGGTGGCCGAAGCCTCTGCTTGACCTCAGATACAACCTCCTTGTCAAATCTTGTCAAGCTCATCTACCTCAGTGCCGTTGTTAAGGTGTCTCGTCCGATCTCGTCGGGCATCCACGCCCAACAGGTTTTAAACATGCTATATTCACTGTTCTTGTGCTCTCTACTGTCTAACTATGGTATAGAGTTGGAGGTGAAATTTTCATCAAGTGAAGCTTATGTACTGGGCATAGTTGGATTATTTCATATTATTAATGCAGTCGATGGTGTTTGTTCACCTATGTCAAGCAAATTCCGTCATCAACCGATATCTCTGAGAACTACAAATATTCATGTTCGCCACATTCAAAGTTTAGCTTGGAGTCATGTGTTGCTTGAAGACTGCAGTCATGTAGCTTTAATAAACAAGGCTAGTCAAACCTCCTCATGCCAGGGCCATGAGAGATTCTTTTCCCCCTTCCTTCTCTTTACAGAAGTGAACCATTCCGCCAATTCTCCTCTCTATGAGAGATATTCTCTTCTTGGTTTCAAAGCCAATGACCATAGTTACTCTCCTTACTGCTTGTTATCTTGTGTAATGGTCCGTTTGGGACTGGATGTTACAACGAGACTCATTCTAGTGAGATCTGAGGTCTCGGAACTTTCAACGTCACGACATAGGGTGACTACTTTCAAGTCTGAAAAATTCAAAGGACGCAGCAACTTCTTCATGTGGTTACTGGCGGGTGGCAACTTTGTAACCTTCGACATCTTATCAAACTTGTTTAAGTTTGTGTCGCTATCTCTACATTGTTTTGTTCTTCATTTACCGAAAAAGATTGCACATCTCTGTTTTGATGTTGCTTTAATCCTTGTAATTGGTTAAGTTACGAATGAAAAACATTGGTTTCACAAAGAAAAAAAAGACATGAATTCACTGTGATAGAAATACATAAAGGAGTAAAATGAATTATATTTAATATCATTGGACAAACGGATCAGTGTGCAGAGAGAGCCAGAGATTTGAATAAAGTATACCGTATATTATACCAATCGTAACATCTGTATTATTCTTAATTAGGATAAATAAGCTACATTACTTTTGCCCGAAGCTTATCCTTAAATGGAAAGGTGAGAAGAAAAATAAGATAAGCTCGCAATTTTATAACTTTATAATACACTAATAAATCAGCAAATGTGCCGCACAGATGACCTAATTATATTCAGCCACGACATAGTTTGTTGCCATCTTAATAACCACGTCGTATCATAATTAAGCAAACTATCTACTTATAACTTACTCTTTTAAAAAGCTCACGAGATTATTTCCACTAATACAGAAGATAACATTGAATAATAACGAAGAGAGTATACAAAACAATAAACAAATCTTTTGATTAGTTGGGGATCATGTACTTACTATAATTAGAATGGTAACATTTTTCAGTTTTAACCTTCGACTAAAAAAATATTCCATTACGATCTCTAAACATCTTGATAAAACCAAAAAAAATAGAAGTAAAAAAACCTGAAAGCTCATTAATATTTTTAAAACTGCTTATGCATTATCGTTCATCGATTACATGTCAGAACTTACTATAATAAGATTTTAAAACGGTTAACGCTGACAATTAATTTCAAATTAACTTCACCAAAGCTTTCATAATCAAGAAGAGGAAGACCCATCAACAGTGTCTCCATCTTCTCCACCATTGTCACAGCTGTGAGTGTTCAGACAAGGACCACGAGGATCCATAGAGAAGATCTCTCTGTTCCTCCCGTTGAGAAGTGAATACTTATTATTATGCATCCATACTTTAAAAACCCCTCTCCCTATCCCAATCTCACTACAAAAACCTCTCACCAACTTTTCATCACAGCCGTTGATCTTCCACCCTGCTTTCTCAGCGAAAGCCCTCATCTTCATCTTCTGCTCCGGCGTGAACTTGGTCCTCGTCCGTTTCCTCATTCCTCCCTTTGAGCTGTTCTCCGATCTCACACCCGTCGGATCTTGATCTAAAGGGAAGCCTGAGCCGAGAGAGAGATGCACGTGATGAGGAGCTGAAGTGTAGTAAGAGCAGGGGACAGGGGAAGCCACGTGGTGAAGCGACTGAGACGGCGGCGATTCCGTGCCGGAGGGAGAGGAAGTGGGATGGGAAGGAAGGAAGTTGAGATGGTCGGAAGGGTCACGGCGGTGGAAGTTACGGTGGCAGCCACAAGCGGCGCAGCGGAGAGAGGAAGGATCGGTGGGTGTTGCGGTGGGGGTTGGCATAAACTCGCCGCAGCCGTCGAGGGCATGACCGCCGAGGTTAGCCGCGTGGTTTTTTAAACACTCTTTGTAACAGACACCCATTTCTCCGGCGACAGGGGAGTTTACTAATGTTTGTCTGTGTTTTGAAGACAAATCCATAGCTTTACTTATGTTCTGTCTTTATAGTGTGTTAAGTTCTTTCTGATTAAACGTAGTTAATGAAGAGATTAGGTTTTGTAGTTTTTTTATTTTAATATTATTAAATTTAAAATGAAGTAAGTGCATGTGACGATGATGTAATTATATCGGTAAAGAACATGGCAGTGATGAAATATAATTAGGACTTCAAAAAATGTAATAAGTGCTTACCTACAACTACAAACGTCCAAAACACATATACACTTACCGTGTTCTCGAATGATAACCTACAAACTCAATTTTTTTTTTTTTTTACTTTTTCTTATTTTGGTGAAACAGAGAATTGTTTTTTGAATACTTGTAGTCACTTTGGTATCTATTTATACGTTATTGGCCTATCTAATACAATAAAGTTGACTTCCCTCCCTTCTTAGGGTGTCCAACTCAGCTTGGAAGAGGGGGGCAAAAAATTCCACCTCAGCAAACAGTTTTTTAAATTGAACCACAAATTTTTCAAATCTGTATTGGTCGATTTTGGTTTTGCTGGCTTGGTTTAATGTGGTGATGGGCTTGGTTTAAGGTGGGCTGTTATCCTTGAAAGAAAAGCCTTCCGTTTGTTTTTTTTTTGGGCTGTAGTCCAGGCCTTCCCTTTTAGGTTTTCTCTTCCAGTTGATCCTCTTCCTCGTCTGTAGCGCCGTCGGAGGCAGATCGGGATTTCGTAACCGTTCTCTTCTCCCATTAAACTCGACTTTACTCCCACCTTACGAGCCTTGACCACGGTTACGCCCATTATTGCCTCTTTTCCACTCCCAAATAAAGTGTCTGTAGGTCGACTATAAATGACGATGTATCCGGAGTTGTTCATCTTATTCCAAACGCTCACGAAGAACAGAACAGTCAGACGAATCACCCGATGGCGAACTCCTACACGCTCCTTGCTGATTTGAAGGGCGGCCGGTGCTCAAACACGGCATAGGTTCGACTTCTTCGGCTTTGGGAGGCGAGAAACGGCAGCAGAAACAGCAGACGTTCAGGGGAACTCATGAGCATTGACATGTTGTTTGTCGATGAAAATGTAAGAAGTCTGACGTTTTTTGTTTCTCTATTATTTTTTCCTCTCTTACAATGATTTCATTCTCTGTGGATCTATAACTGGTTTACACAAGGTTGTCGTCTTGATTTTATACTGTTTTGTTTAAAAGCTTTACGAATAAGACGTGAATGATTTGTTTCTTATTTATGTCCACACCTTTCCTTTCTTGAAGATTCGCAATATCTCTTGCCTATTCGAAAGTGTTCTTTTACATTCTTTTATTTGTGTTTTTTGGTTTTAATTTACTGTTTTTAAAAAAAATTACCAAACAGGCGACGATGATGCAAGCAACCATTGCTGCGGCTCGACAGCGGCGCTTCCGGGAGTTCCTAAAAGAAGGTTCTGTCTACAGCCTAAGTGGATTTGATGTGGCTCGCAGCAACACAAAATACCGTGTTTCTGATGCGGCCTTCTCAATACGGTTCAATGATGGAACTCTGTTAGCGAAGATTGAGTCCACCGACCGAACCATACCAACGGAGATTTTCCGGTTTCGACCCTACAACACCATACTTGGGTTAGGCAACCGTGGTGAAGATCTCCCAGGTTGATTTCAACGATTATATATTCCCCCCCCTTTCCATGCGTTGGTTTTAAGAATTTATTTTCCTTCAATTAAAAATAGATGTTTTGGGAGAGCTGACTGCGATTAAGAGCACCATCACGGATGGTATACCAGGGGCACAACGTGTGATGTTGACTTTAAGGATTGAAAGGTGGTTTTTTTTTTTTTTTTTGTGGTCCACTCATTTTGCTACACAATTCTTAGAATATAGTTAACAAGTTATTTTCTTAATTGCAGCGAGTTCAACGTGTGTGTGAGTATGTTTGACGCTCAGGCTCTTGCATTACATAGGCGTTTGGAGAGCTTTGGTAGAGAGCCTAGGGTTGTTCTTGTCACCGGCATAAATCCAAAGATAGTTTCTGGTGAGCAAATAACTTAGCGTCCACGCATACCTCTTGATAGCGTTTATGTTGTTTTGCATAACGTTTCCTGTTAATGTGTATTAACTAACTAAAGTGAGTATTAAGTCGTTTTCTTTAGATTGTTAATGGGTTTTGGGCTTTAAAATGTTGACTTCTTCAGGGAACTTATATCTCAATGGGACCTCTGCCACTCATTTTTATTTTGACTCTGAGACAGCTGCAGGGAAAGCTTTGTATGACAGGCGAGTTTAGTTATTATCCTTTCATGTTTGTTTTGCTGTGAGATGATGCAAATAAGTTATTTGTTTTAGTGTTTCCGCTAATGCTGGGTTTTGTTTTTCTTCCACTTTTAACATTTGACTCCTTCTGGTTATCGCTTTCCAGTCTACCAGGTGGTGTGTCAAGCCAGTCTGGGTCTCCATCGAAGGTCCTTCACTCACAGAAGATAGAACCTCTTACCGTTGCTGAGTTAAACCAGTTTGTTATCCCTGCTGAGCCTCAGGTAACCATTTACGCACTGGACAACATACTTTAGCTTAGGGTGGTGTTTGTTTTTGGGACATTTGAAAGCCAATCTTCATGCGTTTAAAGTTAAATGTTTGCTTCCTTTACCTACAAACCTCTGCAGATAATTGAATTCCTCTGTACGGCCAAAGTGACAGAGATTCAGAAAGATGAGGGATGGTGCTATATCGGCTGTTCTAAGTGTTCTAAGAAACTTATCCGAGAGGAAACTTCGTTCACATGTGTACACTGCAATGAAAGTAATCCTGTTGCAGAGCTGAGGTAGTTACTTTGACCAATTTTTTCCGTTTGAAGGATTGTTAGAATAAACGTTTTCTTGCCCTTCACCAACAGGTACCGTGTCATACTATGTGTGTCTGACGCCAGTGACACAGCATTCTTCCTAGGTTTTGATACGGAAATTGCTAAGTTAACGCTCATTCGGGCTTCTGAGTCTGCTCAAATAGTGGTCAGTCTAATAATCAAACTCTGACTACCACTAGCTATATTATGTTCACTGAAGTATCTTATGCATTTTTCAATGTGTCGTTGTTCCAGGGAATAGGTATCAATGCTGAGGTTGACACTGAGTTGCCACAATCGCTCGCTGGTATTGTTGGAAATACATACACGTTCCAGATGAAATTGAAAGACTACAACTTCACACCAAACCACAAGACCTTCACCATCTCCCGCATCTTCCCTGCACAGGACCTTTCCCCAAAACCAACTTTCGATGTAAGAAATGTCCTCCTTTGCAGTGTGCTTTGTTTACTAAATCAAAACAAACCCATTCTCTGTTCTTATAATAGGAGGGTGAACATGTCTCACAGCCATCAGCTCCTCAGCCTCGTCAATCAAGCACAACGGATACCTCCGCTGAACCCACCAACGTTGGTGGAGAGGAAATTACAGGTGTAGGTTTGCCGACTGGTGGTTTACCGGCGTCCAAAGATGGAAGTATCCTTGCTGAGAAAGCTTTGAAGAGGCCACGGGTGGAATGATACCACCGTTTTAATATTAACAACCACTTATCTCCTTTTATCGTTTTGTTGTCTGGCGTTAAACGTTTTCTTCTCGGATTTTTCTTTGTTTTGTTTTTTAGAAATACCTTTTATTATGTGGTTGTTATAAGGTTCTCCAATGCAAGTTTTTTTCAAAATATATGACCATCGTAGTCTAATCTCCACTGTGGGACTCGTCTCTTCCATTACAGCGACCTAACGCATTACAATAACAAGGTGAGCAAATATTTAAAACTTCCTACGCTGTATCAAAAAATTAATGAAATACACAATATCTATAACCAATTGTATTCCCTGAAGATCATAAACAAAATGTACTATCATTATTCACTTATTAACACAACTTTTTTTGAAAAAATAATATAATTTTCGTTTTTAAAAATCTTATACCAAAAATGATTTGTACAAATAACTTATTAAATACTTATTTTGATTTTCTAAAATCATAAATAAAAAATAATTGTACGATAAATTTGAAAGTAATTATCCTTAGAAAAATATTGAATCAAAATCGTACGAGCTGAAGTAAAACAAATCTTACTATCACCAAAATTACACGGAGAAGACAAGTCTGACATGAGATATAGTCTTGCATTAAATAAAACTACTTTATGATCTCACGTGCAGAACCCAAAATACAAAGTTAGTACATCTGTCTTCCTTGCCAACTGCATCATTTTCTCTACATTCTCTGTTGGTAGAAGTGGCCATAGAAGAACACAGCGTGCCATCGTAAGCTCTCTCCTCTGTTTTCTTGTCTTATTCCAGTTGAAGTTTCATGTGGCTCTTTTTTTGTTCATGGAGAACATAAAGTTTTTTTTTATACTGTCTTTCATACTATGCTCTTGAAGGCTAAGTTATATGGTACATGAGGTTGCTGTTTTTTTAATTTGTGCTTTATGTTTAAAGTGATTCGTTCTTACTATGATCCTTCTCCGGTATATTCGTTTTTCTTTTGCTTAAGCTTTCTTTCAGATTTGCTTCCCCATTTTTTGCTCTGATCTTCTTGAGATGCTATCAACTTAGGCTTAGAGCAGATGATTACATGATTCCAGTTGTTTTTATTTTATTTTTCTACGTGAATTTTTGAGTTACTCAAGCCAAAACGTTCACTATATTCATAATCTGCTTCTGTAACATAATTCCATTTAAATTGAATCTATGATTCTTTATTTCTCATTCTTATAAATACAGTTTTGACATTAATATGTTTCTTATAATCAGGATCTGAGGGAACCACTGCCTCCAAATACTACTAATCTTGATGGTCCGATTCATGGGATTGAAGTAGCAACAGAGTTTAAACCAGTGGAACACCCTATTGAGCCCATCGATAATGATCAACCTGTTCAATGTCCACTTCCCGAGCCTCCAATTCTCAATGTATGATCTTCATATCATTTCTTTCTTCAACTTCCAAGAAAATAGGAAGACATGAGTGTTATAGCAACCTTAACTCTATTCTTTTTTTGGGATCGTTTTCAAGCACAGGACGTGAGAATCTGGAAAGAGAGAGTGTCAGCGTCCATGAGGAGACGAGGCGAGTTGGCCATTCCACAAGATGGAGTAGATGGAGTAGAATCTGTTGGAATCAACAGTCCTACAGAACCTGATGGCTTTATGACAAAACCATCGGTGACTAGCCAATGCAATCCCAAGCGTCGGTTCTTGCCTTCCCTCAGTGCACCATAACGCCACATGCTTAATCTACTTGAAGAATGCAAAGCATCTGGTACTATCTGAGCACCAATGCTGGTCTACGCTCTTCTTTAATTCCGTCTAAGAACAAATCCAAATCGTATTGGATGTTAACACTGTACCTTCTATCATAAGCCACCCAAGTTTCCTTCAAATCCAAGTTACCTTATCTCTGACAAAGAAGATTAAGTATTGGTTTCTCTTTTTTCTCCCCACTTAGTTAGAGATATTGTGTTTGTATTCTGTCTATCTTCTGCTCCCACCATGTCTTTGCATTAACTCCCCCAAACCGTTCCCCACTGCAAATACCCGGTTTAATTTGGTTAACGTTTACGGCCAAAAAGCGATTGGTTAGACTATTTAAAATCAAAACAAACCCAAAAACCCGCTTCACGCTTTATAAAGTTAACCATTTAGGAATTAACAATAACAGCACATACAAATTCAAATCAAATGTTGAATTCAAACTTAAAGTCCAAATGTTAAACATCAAACCATTATGCTATCACTTTGATATCATAATCAACCATTCTCATAAACAAAACACATTCAAAACTATAACATTACCCACCAAAAAAAATTTAAAATTAAAATTAATAAAAATATCCGACAACCCGCGCGCAGCGCGGGCGGACCACTAGTATAGAATATTGTGTCGTATCATAAGCTTTTCTTCAATGATTTATACGGGACGTTTGTAAGTTTTTCTTTTAACCTTTCCACCAGTGGGTAACTTGTTGGTCAAGAGGAATATATTCGACGGAGAGGGGGAAGGATTGAGTCCAGAGTGTATACGTGGCAAATGCCCGTTACATGCATCGTACTTAAGGACAATTCCAGCTGCCCTGCAATACAGATTTTTATTTTTTAAACTTCACGCTAAAGCCCCATATTTTAGTACACTTTGCAGTCTCCCCCCTGCATTTCTATCTCTCGAGTTTTAACCCTTTTCTAATTTTATGTCCACGGTCATACACTTAAAATATGGTTATATGAGACATATTTTTATTTATTTCATTTTGTTTTATATAATGGAAATTGTTGGGTTAGATGTCTTAAACGGAACATTTTCCCTATTTACCGATTTGTCTGAATGAACTACAGAGTTTGAATAAACTACGGAGTTGTTTTTACTTTTCTTTCTAATATAGGTATTACGTGTTCTCCAAAAATAGTTGATTGTGCCAATGTGCTTGTCTTTTGTGGTTGATTTGCGCCGGTGTGCTACGTACATGTCTTTGTGGCATTAGAAACACCTAGGGTATTTGTTAAAAAAAAGTATTTATTTGGAATGAATGCTTTGATACTTAGCAATAATGGAGTAAATAAGAGTTTGCCGTGATGCCAAACATCCTTTTTCAATTTTAATCATACAAATAATGTCTAATTTCCGTAACCACTATCTTAGATATTCTTATCTCTTGACCGACCTCTTATTCTCATTACGGTGCCGCCGCAATTTAGTCTTCATTTGCATTTTGATTACGTTATTAATTAGCTTTGTGTCACAGTTTATGTTTGTATGTCCTTCTCTTCTAATCAGCGTCAACAATTCTTTTTACATTTTTATAGCATATAACTTAAAGTTTATTATCGAACATTATACTTTTTAATCAATTGTAGAACTTCTATAAGAATTATAACAGTAAGTTGCTTGCAGTTTAAGTAGTGAACTTTTTAGATAACTTAACTCTTTATACAATTATAGTGATCAAGTAAGTTTGCTTTAACTTGGAAATGGTGAATCTATGGTAGCTACATTACAAGACTAATAAAAAAATAGGGATATAAAAAAATTAAAACTAATCGAGTAATATTAGTGTAGTGGTAAGAGACTTGGAGGGTGATATCAATTCATTTTCATGTGTTTGATTCGTGCCGGAAACAAAGTTGTTTCTGTTTAGTTAGTTTGAACTTCAGTTTATTTAGTAGTTTAGTAACATACAATTTGACTATTTTTAATATTAATTAGAAGACATTTCAAATTTAGATTAGATCATTTTGACATCTAAATTATTTTATAAAATCAATTTATTCTATAATGTTAAATGTGTTTCTTTCTAAACCGATCGGAACATCCGATAAAATATACAAATATATTATGCTAAACGCATCTTCGTTGATTGTATGAGAATTTGGTGTAATATATATATATATATATATATATATATAATATTAGTATATAATTATAGAATTTTCAACTTCACATAATATATAATCCAAAAATTTATTTTCAGATATTTTGGGTTTCGGTCCCATAAAATTAAGAACTACCTAACTAATTATTAATATATATATATATATATATATATATATATATATTATTGAACCTCAAAGACACAGATATTCAGAAACACAACTCAAATCTCTTATTGCCTTAGAAACTTGCACAAAACTAAAGCACCTCAAAATCTCAAACTCTCAAGTAATATCACACGTCGATATTTCCTTTATATAGAGAACACAAATACCTAAAACTCATTAGGGAACACAATATTCGGATAACTTTAAATCTCCTANAGAAACTTGCACAAAACTAAAGCACCTCAAAATCTCAAACTCTCAAGTAATATCACACGTCGATATTTCCTTTATATAGAGAACACAAATACCTAAAACTCATTAGGGAACACAATATTCGGATAACTTTAAATCTCCTAATCCTAAGCTCATTAGGACTTATCTTGTATTCGACGTTATCTACAAGCTTAAGTCAACAATCTCCCCCTTAAGCTTGTAATCTCCATTCTTCACATCCTCAACACCAATGAGCTCTCTCATTTCCTTGAATCTAATTCTCGCCAGTGCCTTTGTAAGTATATCTGCCTTTTGGATGCTTCCAGCTACGTGTTCTACTGCCACAAGTCCATCTTCCACACACTCTCGGATAAAATGAAACCGTGTATGTATGTGCTTGCTACGTCCGTGGAACACAGGGTTCTTGGTCAGTGCGATAGCTGATTTGTTGTCGATGCAGATGACTGTCTTCTCAACCTTATAATCCACAATCTCCTTTAACAGTTCCTGCAACCACAATGCTTGTTTTGCTGTCTCTGTAGCTGCCATGAACTCAGCCTCACAACTAGACAATGCTACTATCTCTTGTTTTTGCGAGCACCATGTGACTGGGCAATTGTTGAGATAGAAAATGTGCCCTGTTGTGCTTTTGCCATCGTCTGGATCCACATTGTAACTACTGTCACTGTAACCCACCAGCTCTTTTTTACCTTTGTTCCGATAATGTAAACCTAGTGAGCTTGTTGCTTTGAGATATCTCAGGACTTGCTTCAATGCAGCGCCATGGGACGTTCTTGGATCATGCATATAACGGCTTAAGACGCCAACACTCAGCGCAAGGTCTGGTCTCGTATGTAGTAAATACCGTAGACAGCCGATGTTCCTTCTGAAGTCCCTTTCAT